CGGCTAAATATAGCTGCAAAATGGCTAAAATAGTAACACTGGTCAAAAGGATTGCAATTGTATCATACGCGTCTTTGCTATCCATCTGTCCATCTGTCCATCTGTACGCCGCCTAAACGGAAATAGTTTCAGCATAAAGTTTTCTTAAAATACGTTTATTTAGTTTGTGTATAAACTCGACATGAGACATTCGGTTTCATTGAGGTACACCTCCATTGATAGACTCTCGATTATGTTACTTGTTGCTGTCGGTGCGTAATTGCTGTAAAAGTACCAAAGGTGAAACTATTTTATATCTCCAACTCTCTAAATACACACAAATATGTCACCACCACCCACCTACGGCACGAAGCCTAATTCCAAAATCCTTTTGCAAGTATATGTCTCGTGTTCGCCCCAACTGAGTGCGTTGCAGCTGCCTGGCTTAGTTTAACTAAGAAAATATCTCTGTTGAAAGATTTGTCTGTGTTTTATATATCTTCACGACAAATCTGTAAGATTTTTTAAATAAAACAGCTTTTTTTTGTAGCGAATTATGCGAACTTTACGATCCTCGTATTCATCAACGTTTTCTCACGTCAAATTGTCACTACACTATAGGGATAAATGCGGTAGATGGAGAGAGTGAACAATAATTTTGTAGGAGAAAAGGTAGAAGCGAGAAACAGTATTGTAAAACGGCCGTTTCTTGTGGCGCTAAATATTCGACGTTTGTATATTATTCGATTTTACGATATCAAAGGTCTTTTAATTAATTTAATTAGTGAAAATGTGTGATGTACAATAAAAATTAATAAAGAAAACGTGAAGAAATGGCTGTTTTAATTAATTTAATATATTTTAGTGCAAACTTTGTATGCGGATACCGATAAATGTGCATGAAAAGACAGCTAGTATGCGGATTCGGATCTCTTCCCACGTAAACATGGCTATAATTGCGACAAAATTGCATTGCCTACTGTTTATCGTGATTATTTTCCCCGAACCGGTTCACTTTTCACTTTTCACTTTTGCTTTCCATTTACTATGGTCTGTATGGTATTTTTTAAGTAATCAGCTATATTTGCATAAAAAAGAATAAACATTAAATATTGCAAATAGCAAAATCGCCTAAAAAACGGCTAATTTTTCTTGGCAAAGCGGCTTATAAATCGGCTGCTGGCTAAACCGAATTTTTTGGGGCTGTTTGCTTTCGCAATCGGCTAAATATAGCTGCAAAATGGCTAAAATAGTAACACTGGTCAAAAGGATTGCAATTGTATCATACGCGTCTTTGCTATCCATCTGTCCATCTGTCCATCTGTACGCCGCCTAAACGGAAATAGTTTCAGCATAAAGTTTTCTTAAAATACGTTTATTTAGTTTGTGTATAAACTCGACATGAGACATTCGGTTTCATTGAGGTACACCTCCATTGATAGACTCTCGATTATGTTACTTGTTGCTGTCGGTGCGTAATTGCTGTAAAAGTACCAAAGGTGAAACTATTTTATATCTCCAACTCTCTAAATACACACAAATATGTCACCACCACCCACCTACGGCACGAAGCCTAATTCCAAAATCCTTTTGCAAGTATATGTCTCGTGTTCGCCCCAACTGAGTGCGTTGCAGCTGCCTGGCTTAGTTTAACTAAGAAAATATCTCTGTTGAAAGATTTGTCTGTGTTTTATATATCTTCACGACAAATCTGTAAGATTTTTT